TATTCCCAATGGAACACTTAAAGATTGGTGATAACCTAAAAAAAACAGTATTCCCAATTTCGCTGTTAAAAAAAATCTAATCATTTATATACTCATTAACCGTTTAATTTGGTAATTTGTGTTAAAAAAAAAAGATCATTTTCAAAACTGTCCACGTGCAAATTCATGATGTTGACATATATACATCAAGCACATATGCACATTTTTCAAATTAATGTTTTTTTGAATTATTTTAAAAACTGTTTAAAAACCGGCATATTATATAGTTACACACATCCTTATTTTAATAAATAAATATGTTTATTCTGTTATTGACAAATGTTATAATATTAGAGCTTCTAATTAATATTATGTGTAACCTATTATGCCACTTGTCAACCTATTAATTATCCATTCCAAATTTCAAAATTTAAATTTCTCTCTCTAATTACATTAAATTAATAATTGATTCTCCATTTTAAATGTCAAATTTTAAAAATTTTCACTTTAATTATATTAAATTAATAACATTAGAATAAAAAATAAAATAAAATTAATAGAGATTATAATGTGATATAACTTCACATATTTATTTAAATCAACGACTATAATTTTATATAACTAAAAAAATATCTTTTAAGTAAAATTTCTTTAAAATAATTGATTTATAATTTGATTTTTTAATATGAAATTTTAATTAATTTTATAACCGTGTTTCCCACGGGTTATAAACTAGTATACTATATACAATAATAAAAACTCTTCATCAGGTGAGAATTAAGAAATCACAACTACAACTAACCTTCTGTGAAGGACTGATCTTTGGGAGCCCCCCGAAAATATTGCACAAGTAAGTCTGTATCTTTGTCCTGCAAAACATATTTGTATGCTTTATGATCCAGTAAACTCTCACTACAAGAGATACCGGTATTACTGACGACACGTGTAATAGCGGCGACTCAATAGATGTCACCGCTATTACTAGTAACGGCGACATATTGAGCCTTTACCAGCGCCATTTGTCGCTGGTCAATGCCTCTATTTTTTGTAGATATTATTAGCCACGGGTGTTGAACCAATATATATAATATTTAAAGGAGTTAATAAAGACTTACCACACCATCAAAGAAGTAGGTAAGAGATGGGTGTTGTTCGGCATCATAAAGAAAGGTCTTCAAGACCTGGAGATGACAAAGAGATACATTAGGACATGGATATGTATTATTTTTGAAAATATAACATCTTCGTCAAACCAAAAAAAAATTACAACCAGTGTAAACCCTATGCATCTCAACTTGTCTAACCTGAGGAAAACATTGGACTAATGCAATGCCCTGCAAACTACTACTTGAACCGGTAAAACTATTTGGACCGGTAAAACTATCTACAAATGGTGGCTGGTGGCGGGCCAGCCATGAGTTATAGTATGTGGGAATAAAAATTGGGAGCGCTTTTATCTCAAATATTTTTAAAACTAAGGGGGTGTTTGGGATTGCTTTTTAACCTAAAAAATCTTTTTCAATAAAATAACTTTTTGTCTTATAGCTTTTTGCAAAAGAAGGTTTTAAAATGAGTTTGGATTATATTTTGAGGGAGCAAAGGCTAAAAAGCCAAAAGTCACAAAAAGTCATAATTTTTGGCTTTTAAAATCACTTCTTTTTCTTCTTGCCAAAAAATCATTCTAAAAGGACTTTTAGAATTAGCAAACACCTTTTCAAACTTTTAACTTTTTGAAAAAGCTAAAAGTTCAAAAAATCCTTTTGAAAAGTAATCCCAAACACCCTCTAAACTGTTACGTGGTTCGTAGAATGTGTACGAATGAATTGGAATCCGTCAAAGAATTAAAATATGTTTGGAATTGTAATTTAGTTCCATATTATATATCGGTTGAAAGGAAATAGAATTAGAATCCAATTCTATATTTTGTTTAGTGTTTAGTTGACAGAAAATGAAATTAAAATAATGTTAAATTATAGAATTTCTCTTGTTTTTTTTTGTTTATTTATTTTTTTGTATTATAACTTATATGTAAAAATATATATTGCATAAGTGATAAAAATACTATATGATTATAGTGGATGTAGTGGTGGGTGGTGATGAGGATGGTGGTGGTGGTCATTGAGGCGGTAGTGGAGGTGAATGGTAGTGGTGGTGGTGGTGGTTGTGGTCGTGGTGACGATGGCAGTGGTGGTGATTACGATGGTGATGATGGTTGTCAGTGACCAGAAAAAAGCGGTATTATGTCAATTTTGAACTTTTCCTTGTAAAAAACTTAATTTATTACTATTTTTTATGGAAAGGACTTTTTCGCATTTGATGGAGAAATTTCACCTCATTTAGGAATCTAATTTCTTAGCAAATCTTGAAGAATCGGAACGAACGTTAATGTTATACTATTAAATTGAAAGCTCAATTCAATTGAATAGAATCTTGCATCCCCCACCACCATCAAGTTAGCCGATTGTTGATCACTCATCATTTGAGATTTTAACACTCTAAAATGGAGTGGGTCTCAACTTCGAACACGACAAAGCTTCAACCGTGGGTACCGACCTGTTAGAAATATAAAGCCACCTTCCATGTCAACCCCTCCCCACATTCTATATATTCGGAATTGTTGCTTAGTACACTCTTCATCTAAAAAATTGGGGGCTGTTAGATTGGCAAGCATAGTTTTCAGTTAAGTGTTCTTTTGGCTTGTGTTGTATGTAAATTATATTGTGATGTATCTTATCCGGTCTTTGGAGGCTGGTATTTGTGTATACTTTAGTATATTTTTCATCTAAAAAAATCGTAAATATGTACATACCTCCTGGAATTCAGGAGATACACCACCATCACTGGCGGAAGAATTGAGTTCTTGTTGAGCCATCTTAACTTCTTTGACTATGGTAGACTTGGATTCACGCAGATCTTGAATTTTTATCTTGTATAAATAAACAAAATAAGTCAACATTAGGCATCCCCATAGTTACTAGCAACTGAAATTATATCATTATTAAGGTATATGATTTACCTTAGAGGCAGCATCTAAGTTAACTAGATCCTTGTCAAAATCAAACCAAGCTGCATTCTTCTCGTCACCCTCCTATATAATATGCCAGCGACGATAGAATTATTTAAGTATCCAAAATAACAACATGACAAATTAAAGTGACATGAAATAAATTAAATTTTTTTGCAAATGCATTTTATGATCTTCGATTGCCTCCTATTGGTTCTCCCTCTCTTGTTTATTTCAACCAAATTGAACATGGTTTACATGAGTATAGCATATTAGAGTCTCTTGGTCCCAACTCAAGCATACAATGAAAGTCGATGTCATCATTTTAACATTGTTGTAATTAATTATGTAGGTGTGACCTTAAACTAACAAAAAAAAAAGACACATGATGGGACCCACACACACATATGTTTCTTCAGTAGGGTTCATTTAGCACCAACTTTAATTAATTCATAGATAGTGTGACTAATTACTAAATGTCAAAGAGACTTGTACCTTGTATAAAAGAAACATATCTGTCTCCTTCGGTTTCCGAATATTGTTAAACCAAAGTCCACCAAGGTGTCCTGCAATGTAGACGATATATTTCATGAATCGTATGAAACATAGAAACGAAATATAATACATATATTATATTTTTGCAACGATTTCAATCCTATAGTACCTCTTTGATTCCGTTGTAATATCTGATCATATTCCTTCATTATGCTAGCCAGCTTTATTGATTCCCGTATCTAAATTATGTAAGTGAAAATTAAAAATTTGTAATATATACAATTTTTTTAACAACAAATAATTTCATTAAAGCAACTCTAGCAACAAGCCAGAGAAAAACAAGCCGACTGGTGCATTTCTCATTAAAGTATAAATATATTGTTGAATCCTAGATACAAGTTACCTCTTTAGTAGCCTCTTTAATTATTTTCAGGTTTCCTGTAATTTCATTAATCTGCAATAATTGGAAGTGAAGGCAATAAATTAGCTAGACAAGTAATCTTTGTCATATTTTTTCCCATAAATCTTTAAAACTTTTTTCATATTATAAATTTTTTTAAGAATCTTTACCTGATTAGTAAAAGAAATTCTTAGTTTGAGCAGTCGTAGTTTCGCCTCTATCCTTGGGATCTTCATACACTCCAGGATGAACTAAAAGACAAAGTATCATATAATCCCTTATGATGAGTTAAATTATTTGATAAAGAATCAATACTAATTCCAAACTATGACTAACAATACCTGACCACGCTCTCCAACCATTTTCTTGTCTCCCGTGTAGCCCTAAAATATAAAATTTTGATTAAGGAGTTTTTTGATATGCCTTTTATTAGGTGTAGAAAGAAATTGGGTCTGAATGATAAGTCTAATTCAGTCAGATTCAAACTATTCGATACCACATTTAGAAACCTATGACTTGGTGTCTTAGTCATGGAACTTCTAATGTGACTCTTACTCGGTCAAATTCAAGACATGTCTTAACTTAATTAGATTTGACAAAATCAACAACTATCAAATATCTCTTAAGTCTTGGCAACATATATAGTAGACATTAGACTCTCAAGGGGTTGTTTGGTAAGCCTCTCAATACAACCATTAAGAGGCAATCTCTTAATGTTTCAACATATATAGAAGTACCATTAAGTATTGGCAATATATATATATATATATATATATATATATATATATATATATATA